CTGGTGTCTCTCAGCTCCCACCTAAAACTGTTCCCTTCTCTAACTCACACGCTTTTCTATTTCCTTTGGTGTGGACCTGTTGGCAGTTAATTATATTTTGGACCACATTGATGATAGCGTTCCACTAGCTGAGTTTCCAGTGTTTCTTTCTTTACGTGAGAAAAACAACGTATTCAAATTCTTAGTCTTTAAAGATAGACTGTCTTTTTCCTCCTGCGGCATCCCAGATTTGTCTTTGTCTCTTTCTGCAGTTCCATGTGAAGTGTCTATATTTAGACTTTTCATTTATTCTGCTTTGTATTCATTGAGCTTCTTAAACCTGTGGTTTGGAATCTTTCATCGGTTTTGGCACGTTCTCAGCTATTACACCAAGTACCGCTTCTGTCCTGCAGAGAGTCCCGTCACACGAGTTAGACTCTCAGTCTACCCTCTGTGTCTCTGGCTCATCTGTATTTTTCGTATTTTCATTTCTTCCTGCTGGATCATTTCTTCTACTCTTCCAGTTTCTTTGTTCTCTTTTGAGGTCTCTCTGACCTGCTGTTAATTCTATCTGCTGAGTTCTTACTCTATTCCTTTTCAGTTCCAGAATTTCTAATGATTTCTTTTACAAATACAGTTTTACTTTTTATAGTTCAGTTCCTTGCTTGAACCTCTGAAGTGTGCTTTGTTTATCTGAACATGGTAAACGTTCTGTGTCATTGTCTGTCACTCCGGTATCGCGCTTCTTTGTGACTCAGCCTCTGTCGTATGTCGCTCCTTTCCTTCGTAGACCTGCTTGTTCTGTGGCGTTCGCTGTATTTGATAAGTACTTTTAGGAGTGCTCTGATAGCTAGGGTGCCCCTTCCTCCAAAAATGGTTTTCTGTTGCTCCTTTCAAATGTCCAAGCCTGCTACTATTCTGGGCCTGTCTGAATCCCGACCCATGTGTTTTGGTTGCTTGGATCAACTAGCTGACAAGGCGATTTTATAAATATTTCATTCAGCTTTTTTCCTTTAAGTTTTACTCATTCAGAGTATAGCTTTTTTTACTTATTTTTTTATGACAGAGTGTATGAGAGAGAGAGAGCGAGTGAGCCAGAGACCCTCAACAGGACCTGGTTGAACTGTGAGCCCCTTCCCTAGCCCTCCCTCTCCTTAGGCTCTTGGGCACCTGTGTGCACATCTGGTGTGTTTTCAAACCAACCTGGGGATCCAAATCTGTGGTTGACCATGTGGCTTCCAGCACTGCAGTCCAACATGCCGTGGAGGGTGTCACCTAGACTGGGCCTAGAGAATAGCTTTAAGTAACCTGACTTAAATGGCTAGAAATGAAACTTCTTGTAGAAGGAGGGATGGTTCCTTTTCTCTGTATTTGGTAGAATTCATACACCATTTCTCCATGTTGTTAGAATCATACACCATTTCTCCGTGGTGTTAGAATCATACACCATTTCTCCGTGGTGTCAGAATCATACACCATTTCTCCGTGGCGTCAGAATCATACACCATTTCTCCGTGGCGTCAGAATCCATGTACCTTTTCTCGTGTTTGGTAGAATTCACATCTAAACGCAGCTGCCCGGAGGCTATTTTTCAGTGCTTCACCTTCCGGAGTGCACTTGCCTGCCTAGCACTCACATAGTCATGTAAGGTTCAGATGAAATGTTGTCTCTGGCTGTCGTTCACCTCCCCGGTTCCCCAGCTCTTGGCAATCACCTGTGCTATGATTTGGTACGTTAGTATGTTTATATCTCGGTACTCCCTTAACAGACACAGAGCGTACTGGTGTCTGGGGGTTATTCTAGCCATCTTTATAAGACTAGATTAGAGTCCAGTCCATGACAGGTGCTCAACAGTTGGCTAAATTCAAATGTGAAAATGGAATTTAAAGAGGTTTGATAGCATATCTATAAGGCAGTAGGTTAGTAACTTTACAAATTATTTAAAGATCATTGACTCTACAATGCACCTGTTCTAGCCTCATCAGAACCACTGCCTGGAGTACCAGCAGCCCACTGCGGCTCGCTCAGCACCAATTCTCCCGGAGCCTAGCCACTGCTTCCCGTTTCCTAGGCTTCTAGTTCGCTCTACGGCCTGCCTGCTGCTTATCTGCCCGGACACCGAACGCCGTGTCCCTCCTACCTGCTCATGTCACCTCACAGAGTTACGTCGCTGACCTAAGCTAATTGGACCACAGACACTAGATCGACGGAGACGATTTCATCACATCCCAACAACCAAATGAAGTAGGTACTATTACTATTTTATTCTAGAAATGAAAAGGGGGAGGGGCTTAAAGAGATGGTTATTTGTCCAAGACGAGGTGTTAGAGATGGAAGCAGAATTCACGTTCTCCATGTCGTCTAACTCCAGAACTCAGGCTTTTTCCTGAAGGGTGGCAAACCTTTTCTGTAAAAGATGAAATAGTTCATTTTTAGGAGTTGAAAGCCATGCAGTCTCTATCCCATCTACTAAGCTCTCCTACTGTAGCCAAAGCAGCCATACATACCGTGAAGGACTGTGACAGTGTCCAATGAAGTGTTAGTTATGAAAGTGGGTGGCAGGAAGGACTTGGCTCACAGGTTGTCATTTGGCAATCCCTGCTCTGAACAATCATTCGCTTCTGTTGTGTTTCCTTTTTCTCAATTCCCGAAGTTTCCAGTTCAATAAATATTTGTAACGTTGCTTTAAGCCCAAGGATGATTCCCTGCCTCCTGGAGCCTCAGTGTGGGCGAAGGCGAAGGCGAAGGTGTGTAAACACGAGTCTGCAGCCCTTGGCTGATGATGGAGTCGGGGCTGGAGGCGAGGCAGTGTGGGTGCCTGGAGCTCCTCCTGATGGCTGCAGCAGGTCTTGTAGGGTAGGTGGTGCAGGGCGTGAGCCCTCTAGTGACAGGGTCACAGGCAGAGATGCCAAGGAGAAAGTCTCACATTGAGGAGCCAGCACCAACAAGAATTGTTCTTCCTTCCCTCCTTTTTTCCTTCCTTCCTTCCCTCCAGCTCTTCCCTCCCTCCCTTCTATCCTTTCATCCTTAATGGTAGAGAGTGAATGGGCACATGTGTGTACACGTGTTTGTGCGAGAGGGCGAGATCCTCAACAGGGTCTCAATTCCCTTTTTCCAGCCCCCTGAGCTTCTCAGGATCCTAAATGCCCATCTGTGCATCTGCCATGTTTTCAGGCTAACTCAGGGATCCATATGGCTTCCAGATCTGCAGGGTACTGCATTGTCACTGTGCCACAGCAACTGGGCCAGCAGGAGTTTTTCTTTTTCTTTCTTTGTTTTTTAGAGAGAGAATTTTTTCTATAAGATGCATGTGCTTGCCAGAGAGACAGAGACAGACAGAAGGAAGTGAGAAATCATCCCCCAAGAGGGATGGCTATGCCACAATCCCTTCTCCACCATTCTCGTCTTGGGATTTTGGGCATACATGCACATGCACCTGGTGTGAGGTTTAAGTCACTGGGTCTAGGATTCCAACCACAGTCGACTCCATGAGAGTCCAGCCATCTGCTGGTCCCTGGGCCTTCAGGAATTTTTCTCTCCATCACTCATCTACTCTTCTAAAGAGTCCACCCATGTCCACTTACTCTCCACTTTCCTTGCCAACCACGTGTGCTCTGCTCCAAATATGTTTTTGCTTTGCATCTCATTTACTTTCATCTCTGATTTCCCTCTTTCTTTCTTCTTTCCTTTATTTCTTCCTTCTTTTACTTCTTTCTTTCTTTGTACGTATTTACTTCTTTCTGAATCCTGACTCATGGCTGACTCAGTTCTGTGGTGTTCTCAGGACACGAAGTTCTATCACGAATGTCGTCTGAAGTTTCGTCCATGCATCGACGTGGCGTCATGCTCACGTGCTTCAGCTAAGCCCAGTAGTTACAGGATGGAAAAGGCCTTTTAGCCAGAGTGTTCACGTGGGTCTGTCAGTTCAGTCAGGGGGGAAATCTTCTAGTGATGCTAGACAATCAATAACACTCACTGACCAGTCCAATTTCCTTTTGTTTCGTACTCATACCTCTTTTTGTCTATCCTCTAAATGTCTGTCTCTCTTTTTAACCACAAGAAGGTGCGTACACTCACCAGAGGGACAGAGGGGGAGAGGAGGAAAGCACCCAGTAGCGGGGTGTGGCCACAACTGCGATCCCCTCTCCTCCATTTCTTATCCTGTCTGGATTTGGGATGTGCATGCACACCTGCCTGGTATGGTTTTTCAAGCTGCTGGGCCAGGATTTGCACGGTGTGATCAGTCATGGGAGATCTTGCTCCTTTAACCACTTGTCTCTCTTTTTAAATCTTCTCTTTTATAATTTTTTCTCCCTTTTCCCTGTACTTTTAGGATCACTGTACTTTTCTGGGGCATGCTGTTTCCTTTCTCTTTTTCAAAACTATATTTAAAAATATTATTTGTTAATTAATTCAATTCATATATATATAAGAGACAGAGAGAAAGAAAGCGAGAAACCACCACCACCACCACCCCCCGGGGGGAGATGACCATGCTGCAATCCCTTCTCCTCCATTCTCCTCTTGGGATCTTGGGTTCACATGCACACAGGTCCGGCGTGAGTTTAAGCCACCGGGTCTGGGACGCGAACCGCGGTCAACTACATGGGAGTCCAGAGACATAGCCATTACGCTAACTGCTGGTTCCCCAAAGTACCACCTTTTGACACCCTAATTGGATCAAGTTTTCACCTTGACTCTGTTACAAAGGCTTAACATATGAATGAGGGGGCAATTCAAACGATCCCCAGGAGTTAGTGCTAGATTAACCTCCACTGAGAAAGCCCTTTCTGCCCTCATTTGATCATTTCTGTCTGCAGTCAGGCAAAGGAAGGCTGCCAGGGTGCAGGTCTCTAGGCAGAGGTGCTCACTGCAGAAGAGACAGCATGTGTGAAGTCCTGAGGTGGGAGGGGCTTTCTGGTGGGGCGCAAGCCCAGAGTGAAGCTCAGTGGAGGGACCCTTAGACCTGATCGCAGCAGCTGGCAGAGAAGGAAGCAGAAAGGAAGACCGGTCAGGGGCTTTTTCAGTGGAAGAATGATTCTGAATGAATAGGTCAGTAGAGAGTTTTCTGTGTTGTTTTTGAAGATCTTTGCCATAGGGCATGTACTCTCTGGAGAGAGAGCATGGGAAAGTGAGAAATCATCCCTTGGGGCCAGGGGGAGGGGAATGACCTCACCATAATCCCTTTTCCTCTATCCTCCTCTCAGGATTTGGGGCACACGTGCACATGAGCCTGGTGTGTTTTTTAAGCCACCAGGTCCAGGACTCAAACCACAGGGTTGGCCAGGTGGGATCTAGCGCCTTAACCACCATGCCACCTGCTGGCCCCAGTAGAGAGTTTTGAACTGAGTAAAATGTTCATATATTTTTAAAGGGTCTAGAACATTAGGAAGCAAGAGCAGCAGCTGAAAGACCAGTCAGGAGCATATTGCAATACTCCAGGCAAGAGTATTTTTTTTTTTTTTAGAGGTTTTTGCTATAGCGCACGTGCACTCGCCAGAAAGACAGAGACAGAGAGATAGAAAGAGAGAAATCACCCCTGCCCCTGGGGGATGTCCATGCCGCAATCCCTTCTCCTCCATTCTCCTCTCCGGATCTTGGGCACGCACGCACATGCGCCCGGTGTGAGTTTAGGCCACTGGATACAGGACTCAAACAGTGGTTGGCTACATGGGAATTCAGCGACATAGCCATTACGCTAACTGCTGGTCCCAAGAAATTAGAATTTTTAAGGAGTGTTTTTTTTCTTTTTTTTAAGATTCAGAGTAGTTATTTTTATTTTACTATTGAGGGAAACTAAGGGTCAAGGTTTTGATGCATGACAAACATATTTTACTATTTCCTGCTTCTTAAGGAAAAAGAAAATTGAGAGATTTTTGCCCTGCTAGCCCCAGGACTGTTAAAACGTCCTGAATTGCCGAAGCACTGCTAGGTGGTCTAATGCCTGGCAGAGTAGTGTGGAAGTTTTTCAAAATCAGGGACCAGCAGTTGGCATAATGGCTATGTTGCTGGACTCTCATGTAGTTGACTGTGGTTCGAGTCCTGGACCTGGTGGCTTAAACTCATGCTGGGCGCATGTGCGTGCATGCTCAAGATCCCGAGAGGAGAATGGAGAAGGGATTGTGGCGTGGCCATATCCCTTGGGGGGGCGGGTGGTTTCTCGCTTTCTGTCTCTCTTTTTATCTCTGTCTTTCTGGAGAGTGCATGTTCCCTATAGCAAGAACCTTTCCAAAAAAAAAAAAAAAAAAAAAAAAAAAAAAAAAATTTTTGGTT